CCAAATTGAACTTGTCATGAATCCTATATCAGAAGTGCTTGCCGTCAAGAATTCTCATTTCAATAGAAAAATTTAAAATTGGATGAAAACCTTATCAGAACTTGTCATTGGTCGATCTTAACTTGTCATTGGCCAAACTGAACTTGTCATGAATCCTATATCAGAAGTGCTTGCTGTCAAGAATTCTCATTTCAACATAAAAATTTAAAATTGTATGAAAACCTTATTGAAACTTGTCATTAGTCTTGCTTAAATTGTCATTGGCCAAACTAAACTTGTCATGAATCCTATATCAGAAGTGCTTGCTATCAGGAATTCTCATTTCAATAGAAAACTTTAAATTTGTATGAAAACCTTATCAGAACTTGTCATTGGTCGATCTTAACTTGTCATTGGCCAAAGTAAACTTGTCATGAATCCTATATTAGAAGTGCTTGCTACCAAGAATTCTCATTTCAACAGAAAAATTTAAAATTGTATGAAAACTTTATTGAAACTTATCATTAGTCTTACTTAACTTGTCATTGGCCAAACTGAACTTGTCATGAATCCTATATCAAAAGTGCTTGCTGTCAAGAATTCTCATTTCAACAGAAAAAATTAAAATTGTATGAAAACCTTATCAAACTTGTCATTAGTCTTGTTAACTTGTCATTGGCCAAATTGAACTTGTCATGAATCCTATATCAGAAGTGCTTGCTCTCAAGAATTCTCATTTCAATAGAAAAATTTAAAATTGTATGAAAACCTTATCAGAACTTGTCATTGGTCGGTCTTAACTTGTCATTGGCCAAACTGAACTTGTCATGAATCCTATATCAGAAGAGCTTGTTGTCAAGAATTCTCATTTCAACATAAAAATTTAAAATTGTATGAAAACCTTATCGAAACTTGTCATTAGTCTTGTTTAACTTGTCATTGGCCAAATTGAACTTGTCATGAATCCTATATCAGAAGTGCTTGCCGTCACGAATTCTCATTTCAATAGAAAAATTTAAAATTGTATGAAAACCTTATCAGAACTTGTCATTGGTGGTCTTAACTTGTCATTGGCCAAAGTAAACTTGTCATGAATCCTATATCAGAAGTGCTTACTATCAAGAATTCTCATTTCAACAGAAAAATTTAAAATTGTATGAAAACTTTATTGAAACTTGTCATTAGTCTTACTTAACTTGTCATTGGCCAAACTAACTTATCATTAATCCGATATCAGAAGTGCTTTCTGTAAAGAATTGTCATTTCAACGGAAAAATTTAAAATTGTATGAAAACCCTATCAGAACTTGTCATTGGTCTTACTTAACTTGTCATTGGCTAAATTGAACTTGTCATGAATCCCATATCAGAAGTACTTGCTGTCAAGAATGCTCATTTCAACAGAAAAATTTAAAATTGTATGAAAACTTTATCGAAACTTATCATTAGTCTTGCTTAACTTGTCATTGGCTAAACTGAACTTGTCATGAATCCTATATCAGAAGTGTTTGCTCTCAAGAATTCTCTTTTCAACAAAAAATTTAAAATTGTATGAAAACCTTATCGAAACTTGTCATTGGCATACTGAACTTGTCAAGAATCCTATATCAGAAGTGCTTACTGTCAAGAACTCTCATTTCAATAGAAAAATTTAAAATTGTATAAAAACCTTATCAGAATTTGTCATTGGTCTTACTTAACTTGTCATTGGCCTAACTGAACTTGTCATGAATCTTATATTAGAAGTGCTTGCTGTCAAAAATTCTCATTTCAACAAAAATTTTTAAAATTGCATGAAAACCTTATTGGAACTTGTTATTGGTCTTACTTAACTTGTCATTGGCCCAACTGAACTTGTCATGAATCCTATATCAGAAGAGCTTGCGGTCAAGAATTCTCATTTCAACAGAAAAATTTAAAATTGTATGGAAACCTTATCGGAACTTGTCATTGGTCTTACTTAACTTGTCATTGGCCAAACTGAGCTTGTCATAAATCCTATATTAGAAGTTCTTGACAAGTTCAGTCATTGGCCTAACTGAACTTGTCATCTTGACAGCAAGCACTTTGATATAGGATTCATGACAAGTTCAGTTTGGCCAATGACAAGTTAAGTAAGACCAATGACAAGTTCCGATAAGGTTTTCATACAATTTTAAATTTTCTGTTGAAATGAGAATTCTTGACGGCAAGCACTTCTGATATAAGATTCATGACAAGTTCAGTTTGGCCAATGACAAGTTAAATAAGACTAACGACAAGTTCCGATAAGGTTTCCATATAATTTTAAATTTTTTGGTTGAAATGAGAATTCTTGATAGGAAGCACTTCTGATATAGGATTCATGACAAATTCAGTTTGGCCAATGACAAGTTAAGGAAGACTAATGACAAGTTCTGATAAAGTTTTCATACAGTTTTAAATTTTTCTGTTGAAATGAGAATTCTTGACAGCAAGCACTTCTGATATAATAAGACGAATGACAAGTTTAGTAAGGCGAATGACAACTTTTGATAAGCAATTCATAGGAATTTTAGTCTTTTGGGCATGATTTGCTTGTCAGGACGCATGGACAAGGACATTGAACTTTCCTACTGTTGCTAGCGTTCAGGGTGCTTGCAAGGAATTACTTGGATCTTGAGACCCACTATTTGTACCCAAGAAAAGAAAAACTGTTTTGAGAGACAGAGATGACACCTACTGATGTTGCTGAGAATCTAATGCCAAAATCAGAGGAGGAAGACAAGGAGACTTGCTTGGAGAGGTTGATTGAAGCACTCGAAACGGCCAAGAAGAAGGCTAAGGAAGACGCGAAGAAGGCTGAAGAAGAAGCGAAGAAGGCTGAGGAGGATATCTTATTATCTAGGATTGTGAAATGAATGTATTAAATCATTTATAATTTATTGAAAACCATATGCTTCGTCCAGGTCTTTCATCGGGGGAATGGTTCTTCCTTTCTGTATTCTTCTCTTCCTCTAGCTTTCAATATAGGCTGAAGAAGACGGGAGAAAGATAAGATGGGGTGAGGGGTATTTTAGTCTTTTGGGTATGATTTGCTAATTGCAATTTAAGACCTGGTCTCTGATAGCAATTATGTTAATTGAAGAACCCATTTTACTATTTCATATATTTAAGGGTCTTTATTTACTATTTTTCCTTTAAATTTTTTCAGGATGCGACGCAAGGCCTAATGTTTCAACAAGCCAATACCATTTGACGCGTTGAAAGCGACCTTGGTAACCATTCATGATTGATTATGAAAGCTAGTGAGAGGTTTCTTTGCATGCCTCATTGACTTGTATATTGCAAAAGAGAAACGCACTTTATGGTGGACTGCCTAAATTCACGGACCAAAGTTGGTTTGTCACAAATTTCATGTGTCTTTATCACAAATAACAGTCAAGTCATTTTGTCCACAAAAAAAGCGATGTCTTTTAAAACTTATACAATTTCTATATCAAATATTATCTCCAGTTCTTAATATAAAATCCTGTTTGACTTTTATTTTGATCCTAAATATAAGACTCCAATCCATTTTATCTCATATATTTATATATACTTTTTTAAAGTAACTCTTCTAATAATGATAGTTCTAGTCAATACACTTTGATTAATAAAGATATTTTAGGAAAGACAATAGCTATTTAGAACAAATATCTAACTCAATTTACTTCTTTAATCTCTTCAAATTAGTCAACTAGCTCTTATAATTAGGACCGGAGGTAGTATGAAACCCTGCAATCATTGAAAGGTTTTAAGAAATTTATCATTAAATTCTAAGAGGTTACTTTTATATTTCGTGAAAATTATGACCATTGACTAAACTAAGATTGTAACATCCTTGAAATTTGACATATTTTTAAAATCTGATAATAAAATATCTAAAACATAACAGATCTTTGATTTTTAAAATAATTTTATATTTTAAATGTTATTTTTGATCTCGATATTTTAACCTTGTTTGGTATAAAATTTTAAAAGATTGAAACCTTACTACTCATTTTAAAATTTTTATCCTAAACACTAATTAATAAAAACATAGTTTATAATTTTTAATGAAGTATTCTTAATGGTGTGAAAAATTAAACTGTAAGCTTTGAAAATAGAGGGAAGACTTCTGGTTGTCCCAGAAAAACATTTACTCTTATTATCTTTAAGACGAAAGCAAAATGCCCTCAATACTTTCTCACCCTTGTCTATAAAAATAAAACACAGTACACACTTCATATAACGTCCATTTGCGTGAAATAATTTTATCCATGATTTCAATTATTGAAAGGAGGATCCAAACAATATTAAGTAAAACCGAACAATAAGTCCCATTCCGTGAAGTTTACGTTTGAATCGGTGCCGCCGTGAACGTTACTTCCTCTAATTTCTTATAATTAATATTAGGTCAAAATTGGCACCTTTCTATAAGGAAACAAGTCCATTGACTTGATCACTAACTCCTAGGAGAGATGGGAACCATGGAAAAAAATTATCAACACAACGGAACCTTCATTTATGGCGCTAGCGTCTTGAATCTTCCAACACAACGATGGCGTTCTTCTGCAGAGACACAAGCCTGTTCTCTGTTATTCTATGATCATATACATGGATCAGCCCACACAATTGGTTTTGCTTTTAATAGCTCTTCTCCAATCCATATCAGGTAATTGTAAATCAAAAGTGGAAATTATGACTATCAGACATCAAAGTTGAAAAATAAACATGAATTTTGTATTTCATTTAGCAAAGTTAACACTATTGAGTCTGACATCTCTCGGGATTCACTTGCAGGAGTAACTTCAACAAAGTTCACAGTAGCTAACAAATGCAGCTACACAATATGGCCAGGCATTGTTTCAAACGATCCATTATCAAGCACCGGTTTTGTTCTTAAAACGGTGAATCTAGGATCATTTCTGCTCCCCTTCTTGGAATGGCCGCTTTTGGAGTCGAACTCAATGCACACAAGACTCCACTGGAAACTTCTCTTGTGTTACCGGTGACTGCGGCTCCAGGAAGCTGGAATGCGACATGGGAGGTACACCACCTGCGACATTGATAGAATTTTCTCTAGGCCAAGTCCAAGGGCAAGATATTTATGATGTGAGCTTGGTAGATGGATTCAATGTTCCTGTAGCAGTTGTTCCTCACGGTGGTTGTGGAGAATGCAAGAGCACATATTGTCTGGCAGATATGATCAGCCTATGCCCTTCAGAGCTGAGGGTAACGAGCAAAGATGGAAAAGTTGTGGCGTGCAAGGGCGCTTGTATGGCAGATGGCTCATCATCATCACAATCCTGTGGCAGCAATCCTTCCAAGCCCTCAGCTTCTGCAGAACTATTCAAGAGTGTTTGCCAACGTGCCTATAGCTATCCAGAAGATTATAATCAAAGCAATTTCAGATGTAAAGGCGCAGATTATAATATCACCTTCTGTGAATCCCCCTACACAAATTTGGACACATCTGGCTCCTCATCATGCACGGAAACCATCACAACATCTCATTACATCAAGGATCCAAATACAATAAGCTCCAAAGGGGGTTTGTTCACACTAGGGTTCTTCACTCCTGAAAATTCTACAAATCGCTATGTGGGAATTTGGTACATGTCCAATTCCACTATTGTATGGGTAGCTAACAGAAATCGACCATTAAGGGATACTTCAGGAATTGTTAAGGTATCTGAAGATGGCAATCTTGTCATATTAGATGGGCAAAACCAAACCATTTGGTCATCAAATGTGTCAAATATTTCATCTACTACTAGTTTTGAGATTTTAGATTCTGGAAACCTTGTCCTAATTGATAACTTGACGAAAACTATATGGCAAAGTTTTGAGCATCCTTCAGATACATTGTTGCAAAGCATGAAAATTACCAGCAACAAAAGAACAGGGGAGAAACGAAAGTTAACAGCATGGAAAAATCAGTCTGATCCATCACTCGGCAATTTCTCTATGAGCCTAGAACAACTAAATTTTGCAGAACTGTTCATATGGAATGCAACTAGCCCCTACTGGCGTAGTGGTCCATGGAATGGCCAAGGCCTTACAACAGTTCTCAGGATGAGTTCTGAGTATGATAATGGTGCTGAAGAGATGGTTTTTAGCCTCTCAAATGGGTCTGACATCAAAGAGATGGTTGTTTTGAATGCAAAAGGAAAGTTATTACATAAACAATGGGATGATACTGAGAGGAGATGGCTAGAAACAAATCTTGTTCAAAATTCAGATTGTGATGTCTATGGTATATGTGGGGAATTCGGAATTTGCAATTCAAAGAGTACGCCAAAGTGCAGTTGTTTGAATGGGTTTGAACCAAGAAATGGGGAGGAATGGAATAGACAAAATTGGGCAGGTGGTTGTGTTAGGAAATCAACTCTGCCATGTGAGAAAATGAAAAATGGCAGTTCTAATGGAAAGGAAGATACGTTTTTCCATCTGCAAAATGTTAAAGCACCAAACTTTGGAGAACAATCATCTAATACAGAAGACGATTGTAGATTACAGTGCTTGGAGAACTGCACTTGTAAAGCATATTCATATAATTCAGTGCTTGGCTGTATGACTTGGAAAGAAAATCTAATTGACGTACAACAATTCTCAAATGGAGGAGTTGACCTATACATTCGTGCAGCCAATTCAGATTTTGGTATCTAAATTTTCTTAGACTACTTGGAATTTTAACTTTATTTTTTGGCATGAAATTCCTCACCTTTTACTTTCATGACAGCTAAGAAGAGACATAGGACATTCATCATTATCATTGTTGCAGTAATAGCAACTATTATTATCAGTGTCAGTTGTGCATGCTTCTTATGGAAATGGAAGGCAAAACATTCAGGTACTATTCCTTTTCATATCATCTTAATAATTTCAAATCCCACCACATCTATTAGCTTTAAAATGACATAGGCAGTTACAATTTAACTATATAAGGCACTTTCAAAGGCAATATTCATATGGTTAGATGTCTTTTGGATAGTTATGTTTCCACATTTTTCAAATGAAGCACTTCCATCTCTTTCTATTTGTAAATACACTAGATTCATATGATCAGCAGGAAAACGAAATAGCATACAGTTCTTGTCAAAAAAGCGTGGTGCAAATGTAGACAAAACAAGGGGCAATATTATTGGAAACTTGTCACAAGTTAAATTCCAGGAGTTATTGATCTATGATTTTGAAAAGGTTGCAACTGCTACAAACAACTTTCAATTGACCAATAAACTTGGGCAAGGAGGTTTTGGTCCAGTCTATAAGGTATTTGATTTCATGAATTATTAGTTTAGTTGGCAAAAAAAAAATTGGTTTAATTCAAATTCATTATGCATAACAACTTTTTCATGGGATTTTCTTCAAGGGAACACTGCAAGATGGTCAGGATATAGCAGTTAAGAGATTATCAAGAGCATCTGGACAAGGACAAGAAGAATTCATGAATGAGATGATTGTCATTTCCAGGCTTCAACATCGTAATCTTGTAAAACTTTTAGGTTGCTGTATTGAAGAAGAAGAAAAGATGTTGATCTATGAATACATGCCAAATAAAAGTTTGGATGCATTTATATTTGGTTGGTTTTTCTGATCCCTTTTGCTCTAGCTCTTTCTAGTCATGCACATAATTAAGGGGGTAAAACAAAAAATTTGTTTGTGATAGTCTTTCATACAGATATTTGAGTTTTCTTTAAGGTATGGACAAGACTTATATAACCCTCTCCTGTACTGCTGTAGATCCAGAAAAACGTAAACTTCTAGACTGGGGAAAGCGCTTTGTCATAATTGAAGGAGTAGCAAGAGGAGTACTTTATCTTCATAAGGACTCTAGACTAAAAATTATACATAGGGACCTAAAGGCAAGTAATATCTTGCTAGATGAGAACCTGATTCCAAAAATATCAGATTTTGGTATGGCTAGAATTTTCAAAGGAAGTGAAGATCATGCTAACACAAGGAGAGTTGTGGGAACCTAGTAAGTTTTCCTTCCTTACCTAATATTATAGTAGCATACTACGTAGTGAGTACTCTAACAATTATTTGTTTTACCCAACAATACAGTGGCTATATGTCTCCAGAATATGCTATGGAAGGATTATTTTCAGAGAAATCAGATGTGTTTAGCTTTGGAGTTTTACTATTAGAGATTATAAGTGGAAGAAGAAACTCAAGCTTTTATAACAATGAGCAGTCTCTTAGCCTTCTAGGATTTGTAAGTCTCTACTTTTTATTAACTTCCTCAATACCTAATTAAAGAATTCTATTATTAACTGTTGATTTTACTCTTAGCTCTAAGGCTTCCAAAGGTAATAATTATATATGCTTCTTTTGCTATGTGTTTTAGGCATGGAAATTATGGAATGAGGGAAACATTGTACAGCTAATAGACCCAGAAATATCTAATCAAAACCTGGAGAAGGATATATTGAGGTGCATACACGTAGGACTTCTATGTGTACAAGACCTTGCAATAGAGAGGCCAAGTATGAGCACTGTAGTTTCTATGCTTAATAGTGAGATTGTCAATCTTCCTCCTCCAAGGCAACCTGCGTTCATCCAATGGCAGAGTATATTGAATCAATTGACCCCAGAAGAGAATCAAAGATTATTTTCCAACAACGAACTTAGTATTAGTGACATACAAGGCAGATAGCTACATTACCAATTTATGAGTAAAATAACTGTTTTGATAAATCACTTCCTAGTTGTTATATTCTTGGTGGTATGATGTACTAGTGTTGTGCATGAGCTTTGTCTATTTTTTGTTTTCTTTTTTAACTTAATTTCCATTTTTTGTATAAGGATTCCATTTGAAATCATGGCACGAATTGTAACACTTAGCAATCTTAAATCCATTCAAGTTTTACTCAAAAGTTTCTCTAACATTATCTCAATAATGAAACAGAACTGGCCACCTGCAGCCAGTCACACAATTGCAAGATGAGCGTCCAGTTTTTTGTTCCCTTAAAAAATTAGTTATTTGAAAAACCCAGCCAAGATTCATAATTTCAGACTAAGCTCCACCAGAGTTTACTCCAGTTCTTGTTCTTGTTTGCTGTTTTTGGATAAGGATTTTAATTGAAAGCATGCTATGAATTGTAATATTAATGATTTGAAACCCATAAAATTACTAAAAAAATATAAGATCTATTGCTTAACTGATATTTCCCCAAGAAAACTAATGTTGCAGTTGCAGATGATTATATTATATTTATGATCTATGCATGATTGTTTTAGATTATTACAATAATGAAATATCAAGATCTTAGATGCTAGCTTCCATGTTTTAGTCAATAGAAAATGTAAATTCATAAATTATTTGCAACATTGTTTGGAACCTAATGTACAACATGTAATATATCACCAAAAAGTCTACTAGCAATTTGATTATATAGTCTTCTAATGATAAAAATATGGCAGAATAATTTTTCTGACTACATTTACCTGAAGTACCTTTTAGCACCTCCAACGACCGATAAAAACTATCAAAAATAAAGCAAACAGAACACAAACTACAAGTTCTGTAAAATTTCAAGGCAAGTGAAAAAGTATTATCATACAATGCCTAAAACACAAGATCCCATATCCAGATGTAGCTAATTCCAGTTAAGAGGTAGAAGTTAATAATTAATTTTTGAACATTTGGGAAATAAATTAATTGGCAGAAAATCACACAACTTTTCACAATATGTCAACTAGTTATAATTTAAGTTGTGAGCTCCAGAATACTAACAACCAATGCATATTTATGGATAATATCTGATCACTTAAGGAGTTTCAAATGTTGGGTAAAAGTGGAAAATTACAAATCCATCTTATATCACTTGTATAATAAACCAACCCCAGGTAAATAACACCTTAGATTATTTAGAATTTAGACCACAATAAATAGACTCACACTAAGACAATTACTGTTTCCAAAATATATTACACTAAAACACTTGGTATGTAGAATTACATGATGCTCAGACAGGAAGTCAGTCCCCTGTATAACCATAATCACTTTCCATATTCAAACCTACCTACTTAGACAGGAAGTGTTACAACTTTAATGGCTTTTATCGTCAACCACCAGAAGGGATCAAGTCACAGCCTCTTGGCTATAAGGCTAACAAATATAGAAATTAAAACAGCACCAATATTGTATTTCAAGCCTAAAATTAAGAACACTACATCAATTGCCCTAAACAAAAATATATTCGATCATTAATGCATAGTAATCCCCAAAATCTCAAGAAAATTTCAGGTTTTAGGACCAAACACATTAAAAAACAGCTCAGAATTATATTAGAGAAAGCTGGAATATCATTAAGAACTCCAGGCTACCATCAAAGAAAGCCAATGCCAGAGCAGTGTTGCAGCACCTAACTCTAGAGACTTATATTAGAGCTGTTTATTAAAATAGAACCACTTTTTAAATTATAGAGTTCCCAAAAATCTAAACTTCTTAAAACTTTTCTTTAAAACATCATAGGGTACTTTTCAAAGAAGGAGATTTTCTGAAAAAAACATGGCAAATCAAATCTTGTTTTGAAACCAAGTTAGTGGTTCAATCTCTATAGTAAATACCTGATTAAATTCTATGATATATTAAGACCCAGGTTCGAATTACACTTCGTTTCAACCAATACTCACTCTATATAACTATTCTACAACCATATTTAACCTGTTACCACTTGCAGCGTTTAATACATTCACTGCCCTGACTTTCCAACAAACTTAACTGAACATCTATAATCATAATTATAATAACAGTTAAAAAATATCATACACTTATACGGAGGCCATCTCTAATGATGGCACTTACCTGAATGTCAGTTGCCTTGATCCACCTCCTTATGGAGGGGTTACATACATACATGTATATATACACAAGTATCTAACATAAGCCCAAAAGATATGTATACAACTTATATGTATAATGAAGTTATCTACAGAATCTCTTGCCTCTTGCTTTATTTAGTAACCTTTGACTTTATAAGTTTCACATTTCTTCTTCTTTTGGTTCCCATAGGCCAAACCCCACACACACACGCACATATATTTACGAAACTTCATAACTATTGCTTCTAAACTTTAACACTTTAATCTTAAATCAATTCTTATCATTTAAACTCTTATAATCATTGACACACCTAATCCCCTTTCTATTTATTTAAGCAACTTGAACACATTTAATCACTTTCAACAACAGTAAATAACAACTCTAATCTTTTAGCCATCTATCTAAGGTATCCTTATAAAAACCAATCAAAATTCCCTTAAACTGATAAATTGAGCTTCAAAATTGTAACCAAGAACATTAGGTAGCTTCGTATAATTTCACTTAATCATGTTCATATCTTCATCCTAAACTTCAATTCCAACTGAAATTTACTAACTTATTATTTTCCAACATCTAATTCAATACCAATCCATAAAATCTTCAGCTCAAGAAGAATGTCTAATCATCATTCTAAATTCTTCAACTAAGATCTACATAGTTAAGTCACTCATTTATTCTAAGTGGCCTCAAACAGCAAAACACTTACGGTTTCTGCAAGTTCCAGCTTTCATAGGTTTTTTTCATAATTACATAAAGGGGTCATGATTCACTCAATACTTAATTCTCCCTATTCAACTAGTTTACAATATTCTTTTAGTTTAAGTTCTTAAACTACATCCTATTAAAAACTGGACAGCAACTTCCAAGCACTTTATACATCAATTTTCGAACTCACCATGCCCTTCTAACATTAAACTAACTAGAATAATCTTATTATTCAATCTCCCTTGTTTTTAATCCAATTTAAAACCTTATCAAACTCAAACAGTCTCAACTACACAACATTAATTTAAGTCTCACTTGTGTGTCCCTAAACAAATTTAACAATCTAAAATAACTTCTTAACAATCTAATTCCAACATTGCACTACAATTTTTCATTACACTACAAAGCAAGTCTTATATTAAGGACCGGAGGGAGTACCTATATAATGTTTTGCTCTTTCTAATTACATGAACCGAAACCCCACACTAATATATGTATGTATGTATGTATGTTCTTATATCATTTAAACACCTATAATTTCCACTTCCAAAAGTCCTGTTACAATCCACACTCATTACGTTACTTATCCACATGTATATCTCATTTACAACTCTCTAAGTAGTCTTTTGCCTCTTCTTAATTATGCAATCAGCTACGTCATTAAATCCAGAAATTTCTAGCTTTACAAACATCATATACACACTTCCTTTTTATTCTTTAGTAGCTCCTTAATACGTTAAAACACCTAAACTTTCGTTCTTATCCAAACTAGAAAATATATTCCCCTTGGAACAGCAACCTAATTTAATTCTAATCTTAACCGTATTAATCATGCAACTTAATATAGATGTATCACCTCATTTCTCTCCAATCTTGTTAGAACCCGATACCCCAACACAAGAAAAACTTAATACAGTCTTGAACCGGAGAGAATCAAACGCATGCCACAGCACATAACGCACCAACAAGCTTCACTCTACACTCCATCATTCCTTGCTCAACAGTAGACAGCATTTCCACCGACCAAGACCAGTTCTTCTTCGATATTTTCCCAACCAAACAGCACCCAGAGAAGAAAACGAAAATAGAGGAGGAATTGAGGGACTCACATTGACCGGAAATTACAATTGCATGCAAGATCTTCCTTCTTTTTTTACCCTTCTTCGCCGTTACTCTTCCTCTGTTTTTCTCTCGGTTCTCTCTCTCTCTCAACTCCCTGCGGTCACAGGTGAAGAATGAGGAGGGAAGGGGTGATCTCAAAGAATGAGGAGGGAAGGGGTGATCTCATCAGACAATTGAAAGAGAGGGAGCACGTGTGACGTGTGTAGGCAATATTACTGGACTATTTTACCCCTCTAATTATTTAAATTATTTTTGGGTAAATAAAAATAAACTTTTCATAAATTTTGTAAAAACTCAAAATAATATTCCATAACTTTTTTTTCCAAATTTTCAAAGATATTAGGGTATGTTTGGATTGCAGTTCCAAACTGTAGTTATGCCTTGGAATCTGTGAAACTGAGGTTGCAAACTGAGTTGGATCAAAACTGTTGTTTGGTTGGGCTAACTTTTCCAACCAACTTCTGGCTTTCAACCTCAGTTAGACTCAACGGAAAAAAATCTAACTTTTCAAACTGTAGTTTCAAACGGTGATTACTAAAAATGAGCATCCCAGATTTACCCTCACATTTTTCTTTCTGCCTCATCTCCTTCGTTAGCATAATAAGTTTTTATTTAGACCAAATAAATTTTAATTTATATTCATGTTTGTCTATTATGTATATTTAATTAATTATCTACAATGTGTTTTCAACTTTTTCTTCATAACAAATATTTTTATTTCATAATTTCACAATTAAACTATTTATATTTTATCATAATAATTTTATATGTTTTTTTAACCTATTATCACATTAAAAACTACTATTTAATAAAGTTCATGTCCTTTTTAGTCATTTTACAACTAAACTAACTTTTTCATTCATCATCCAAACAACTTTCAGCTTTTTCAACTGACTTTTCAAAAGCACCTATCCAAACATACTCTAACTGACTTTTACTCTAACTTCAGTTACAAAAGTCAGTTGAGCTAGAAGTCAGTTTTGCCTAACGCCAATCCAAACATACCCTAAATTTTTCTTAATTTTTAACCCAAATTAAGTTTTTTGGCCATAAAAAAATATTTTTGAAGTTTTAATCCTTAAAATAATTAAAAAACTCAATAAAAGACTTTTAAAATATCAAAAGCCCAAC